TATATTAGTGGTACATAAATAAATGGTAAATGATATAATCATATAAAAAATTATATTAGTAGATATCAGGGTTATATGAGTGATATATGATATATCAGTTGTATAATATTAGTATATCAGTTATATATCAGTGGTATATCATAGGTACATCAAGTATTTATCAGATATATATGAGTGGTAAATCAATAAATGAAAAATCATATAATCATATAAGAAGTTATATCGGTATATATCATAGTTATATCAGTTATATATCTGTTGTACATCGGTTGTATATCAATGGTACATCGGTTGTATATCAGTGTTCTATCAGAAGTATATCAAGTATATATCCGCGCTCACAGGGTAAATTTGACTTCTTACAATTTGACTTCCGTTTTTCTTTTTAATTTGTATGTTTCCGCGAGTTATTTAATAATTTTTTTTAATAAATGCAAGTTATTTAATAGTTCCTTAATTAAATTTAATTTTATACAAAACTTGGATTTCATTTAACTAGCAAGTTTTTGGAGTTTTCACATTATTCCTTTTCTTTTTTTTTTGTTAAATTAATAGGTGAATTTGCATAAATTAAATAAAATGTTATGCAACGCTTATTTAAGCATAGGGTTCAATTTGATGAAATTAAACGTTTAGAGTGAAAATTAATATAACTAGTAAAGTTTTGAGATTTTAAATTTTAGTACATTTTTAAAAACAAGAAATGTAGAGTGTCTCTTGGTGATCATAAAACATAAATTTGAAAACAAGAGGTTCAATGAAAAACAGAGTCGTACTTTCACATATGTGTTTGATAGGAGATTTAGTAATTGAATCTCAATTTAAAAAATTGTTCAATTTGTATTTAGAGATATATGTGTAAAAGTAGTTACCAACTAAATATTTAGTTTAATCTAAAATAATACTAATTAATTTATTAACATTTCAATGATAAATTTTGTATACTTATTATTTTACCATGTTATATAATTTATAATATATTATATATTACATATTTTAATTTCAAAAAAATAAAATGAGTTTATCAAAGTTTTTCTCATTCTAAATGTAATTTTGAATCTTAAAATTTCAAATTTTAAATTACTGAAAAGACATATAGTTTTTTTAGTTCATCATGTGGGAGCGATGATCGAACTCATAACCTTTTGATTGAAATATATGTCAATTACTGTTAGACTTTGATTGCTTTGACGAATTTAGACTATTTGAATCTCGCTGAAGCGAATTAAGCATACCCAATGTAAATTTGTTTCAAAAAAAAAAATACCCAATGTGAATCTAAAAACAAGGAACACCATTTGATTGCGAACCAAACTGGCCAATCATTTTTTAACCATTTTCTTTTGATTTGATAATTTGACTTAACAATAAAATTAAAAAATAAATCGATAAATAAGCATAATAATCATAATAAAACACGCACACAAAACAAAATCACCGCAAAAGAGTCCTTAGCTTTTCACTTTTGAAAATACATTTGAAACTTCGGGTAAATTTTTAAAAATAAGAAACAATTTTCTGTAAACAACATCTTTTATAAAAAAAATCTTTACAGTATAATAAAGTTGAGCAGGAGATTAAACTTTCCACTTTTAAAAAATTAAACAAAATATCTCTGGTTTGATAATGAAGATCTTTTGGTCGGGTTGTATGGTTTGACCACACGATTAATGTAAAGTTAAACATTTTATTTACCAACTGACCAATCAATAAAATTGCATATATTAACTCCTACTGAATTATATTAACTCTAAACTCTTTAGAAAACATTCTTAATTAGTACTCGCTTAGCAATACATTACAAATAAATTTGCATGATTTTTTATAATAAAAATCTCGTACCATTATAAAATTTTTCATTTCCTTTTTTTTAATTATTTTTTTTATCATCATTATCACAACATTCAATAACTAGAGATTAAATTAAAACGGTTGGAAAATTAAGGATGCTGTATAATTTCTCCTCCAATGGAAAATATCCAAACACAACTACAATATACAAATAGGAGGAAGAACTATGAAGTATAAGATAAATGACACAATAAATCTATACTGGTTCACCACTAAAGGCTACGTCCAGTCTTCCACTTAGATGTGCGTAATTCAATAATAATGTTAGTATTTGATACAATAACACTCCCAAAAATATCCCTTAGAGGTCCCAACAAAAGCCTGATAGCTTCTAAATATTTTAACACAATTAATACTTAGGAACAGGAATGAAAAACTCATAGAATAATTAGAACGAATTATCCCAAAATATCGATCTCGATCTGTCCTTTCTATGCTGCCAACTTCCAAGCCACCGCCACAAATTGCTGCCAAAATACTCTAAAATCGGCTTCTCAAAAAACTTTTGGCTACTCCTTCTCACGACTACTCCTAAAAAGGTTTTTAACATATATCTATACTATATTAAAAAGTGAGAACCTCGGAAAAAACATTTTTGGACTATTATATCCTTCCTTTCATTTATAAATTTACAAAACATGCCATAGAAAATTAATCGTAAATAAATTAATTAATTAATTATCAATTATAAATATTTACTTAATTATTAACCATAAGAATTAAATGGAATTTCAAAAGTTGGAATATGAAAAAGTGTGTTATTTAATTTATGAAGGCTTAATTATTTGCACTAATAATAAATAAATAATAGAATTTCAAAAGTTGTAGAATTCCAAAAGATTTGTAACATTTTCATCTTATATCTATATAAATAGGCATTTTCCTCCACCATTTTCCACCAATACTCAAGCTACATTTTCTCATTCTTTTTTGTTATCCCTCATTTTCTTTGCTTTCAAAATCTCTCTAATCTTGAAAGCAATTCAAGACATACATGATACGTTCAAGTTGTAACGAAAATTTATATATCGAAACGTTGTATCTTGATTTGTAAGTTTGTATGATTATAATTTTACTTTTATAATTTTACTTTTATCTCCAAAGATATGTGTATTAATTTAGTTTTTAACTTTTTTTTTTGTTTTGTTACTATTGTTCTGTTTCTGTTATTTTATAATTGATATATTATTATTTTATATTTGTTAATATTTATTATAATTAGCATTCTTATGTTATTTTATTTAAAATTTTTGTGCATATATATTTTATTTTTAATTTGGTAACTCAAATGTCTTATAGCTTCCAATTTTATAAGAAATTTAGACTATTACAATCTTTTTTAAATTTATAAATTTATAAAACATGCCATAGAAAAGTAATGGTAAATAGTAAATTAGTTACCAAATTTTAAATAATAAGTGTCAACATATATAACAATTGCATGAAATCTAAAAAGTTTATTTTTTAGGATAACAGATAATCTAGAAAATTAGAATATGTAAAAAGTTTTTTAATCTAGGAAGAGCTTAATTATTTCATTAATAATAACTAATAATAGAATTTCAAGAGTTTGTAAATTTTCATCTTCTATTGATATAGATAGGTATTTTATTCTAGATTAATTAATAAATTATAAATAGTATATATCAACCCTAACAATTGTGAAATTTAAAAAGTTTATTTTTGTTTAGGACAACATGAAGTCTAACAAATTAGAGTACGTAAAAGGTTGTTATATTTAATTTATGAATAGCTTTATTATTTTCACTCATAATAATTGATAATAGAATTTTAAAAGTTTTATAATTCTAAAGTATTTGTAACTTTCCATCATCTACCAGTATAAATAGGCATTTTCTTCTATAATTTTTTACCAATACTTTGAGCTACACTTTATCTTTATTTTGAGTTCTCTATCATTTTTTGTTTTAAAAAAAAAAACTTAAGAGTTAAGACATAGTTAAGTTCAAGTCGACACAAAATTTATATATTAAAGCTATATTGTAATTCCTAAGTTTGTATAGTTATAATTTTACTTTAATAAAATTAAATTATTATTTTTGTCTAACAAGATAATTCTATCTTCAAGAATGTGTGTATTGATGTCAAAACAAGCATAGATAAGCGATAATTGGCATATAACTCCAACTAAAAGGTTGTGAGTTCGATCCCCCACCCCACATGTTGTACTAAAAAAAGAAAGAAGGTGTGTTTGATACTTTTTTTTTTGTTAACGTAAAAGATTTAAAATTTTATGAATGAAAATAAGATGAATTAACTTTCATTATTAATAAAATTATAAACTCTATCATATTAGAGACACAAATGTACAAGGCACATGGTACCAAATATATATATATTAGAAACAATGGAAACCTAAATTGGTAATCAACTATAATCAAAATTATAGTTCAGTAATTTGTATAAGAGATTAAAAAAAAAAAGTTAACTGAAAAATCTGACAATGTGGTTCCAAAATTATTGAAACCCAAT